TTAAGGAATAGCTGCTAAGTTATACCACCTTTATTTCAGGTGGATGGAAAATTCAGCAGGATCTCCTCCAGCTCATAAAATCCCTATTGCCTGAGAAATAAAGTACTATACAGTATCTAAGTAGTTAGTAACAAATGAGCCTTGAATTAATTATAGCACATTTCAGGGGAGTTTGGGATTGCTTTGTGAGTCAAGAAAATACATCAAGTAAGTCATGAAAGACAATATATAGTATCGGTCCTTGGTTCCAAATAACTGGTCTGTGAGGAGCTGTCGTGGAGAGTTTTAACAGCGGTTTGGGTTGTTGTTCTGTAAACTAATGATATCAGAGGGCAGTTCCTTTCCTACTTCTAACAAACTGCCCTTTTCCCCTATTGGGCCTTCTATTACTATAGCAACATTGACTGGTGCTCACAATGGCAAGTGTTCAGCCGTGTTCTCACAAATATAAACTATTCTTTGGGAACCTTCAAAATCTCAATGTAGCAGCATTCAAAACTGTAAATAACGGGTCCCTTCGTTTCCACTTACCCTGGAAGGCTCTCTGCAGTCAGCGCCAACTCCGGGCACTTAAAATTAAGAATGTGAGATTGTTTATTGTGGCATGAGCCACCACATTTTAGTTGCAAAGTAATTATAGCTTCTGCCCGTCACTGTGATGAATCGACATCATTTTCTACAGAAGTTCATTCAGAGCCCCCTGAATATGAGAGCAGGGCTAGGCCTGGGCAAAATCATTAAGTCAGCAGAGCTCACAGTGGCTTTTTCCTCCCTGCCTCCTGGGAACTCAGTCTCTTTTATAGTGACATCCCATCCTGGCCCCATATTGCCCCCAACCTCCTTTCAGGCCCATCAAAACTTTCTCATCTCATGTCGTATTTTTTTCATTCCCTGTTTTCTGATATAGGCCAGGTGGTACAGTGGGTAGAGGACTGGACCTAGAGTCAAGAAGACCTCAGTTCAAATCCCACCTTAGACATTTACTAGGGGTATGACTCTGGGCAAGTCACTTAATTTCTGTCTGTCTCAGTTTCACCAGTTGTAAAAAAAAGGGACAGTAATATCCCCAAGGTATATAATGCTAGAAGAAGTCATAGAAGCTTTGTGAGGAAGGTAACAAACTGAAACACTAGACTTGGAATCATAAAGCTAGACAGAATCTCAGAAGTCATTTAGTCCAACCCCCTTATCTCACAGATGAGGAAACTGAGACCCAGGGAATTGTGTCTTGCCCAAGGTAATACGTATCACAGATGGGATTGGGAAGGGCAAAGCAACAAGCATTTAATAAGTCCTTCCTATGTGCCCAGAGCTTTGGTATTTGAAGCTCAGAATCCTGATTCCAGATCAAGTGTTCTTACAACTGAACCAGGAGAGAACCTGGAATTCATTCATTCAATCATTCATTCAGTCAATATTTATCAAGTGGCTATTATATGTAAGCACCGTGCTATGTGTTAGGGAGACAAAAATGAAAAGTGACAGTTTCTGCCCATAATGGGGTAGGTGATGAGATATGTGCAAAAATAGACATGAAACTAGCAAGAATATGTTTAGTACAGAGGAGAAGGTGAATGGAGTGATTGGGAGCGTCAAAGAAGGGGCTTTCACATCTATCGGGGACAATCAGAAAATGCTTCCTAGAGTTTGCATGATGGGAGCCAGTCTACCATGTCCATAGAGGCAGGAGAGGGCAGAATATGGTGAGAATGGCAAAAAGTCCCTGCTGGATTGGAACTTAGAGTGTGTGAAGGGGGTAGAGACTAAAAAGAAAAGTGGGAGCCGGATTGCGGAGTCCTTTGAATGACAGGTTGAGCTGTTATTTACCTTCTTAATTTTGAGTAAATCACTTCTTCTCTGGGACTCAGTTTCCTCATTTCTGAAAGAAAATTAGTTCATGATGCTGCTTTCACTGTGTGAATTGGGCATTGATTTCTTTCAAACACTGAAATCTAACAGGAAACTAACACATAGTAGTAATAAAAAAGTCTAGGGATGAAAAGGGCACATCATATCCCTCCCCATGTTTCTAATTAAGCTTAAGTCTAAATGACTACCCTTTTTCAGAACAGCAGGTCCCCACTGTGGGAACATTGTTAAAGATAGCCAGAAAAATATTTGAAGTATTTTCTCTCTGTCTCTCTCTCACTCCTCCTTTTCCTCCTCCTCCTCCTTCTGTTTCTCCTCCTCCTCTTTCTTCTCCTCCTCATCCTCCTCTTTCTTCTCCTCCTCCTACTCTTTCTTCTCCTTCTCCTCCACTATCAGGGTTTTGAAAACATCATCATTGGCTTTTCTCTCCTCAGTAAACTAGAATCACACTAGAATCACAGCGTATCAGAGCTGGGTTAGACCCCGTGTCAGATTTCCGATCCATTGCAATACCCTCTCCATTGCATCTTAAAGTCATTATTTACAGGATTCCATCTACCTCCACACTTTTTAAAGAACAGCACCAGGGGATGCCAGATTTAGAATTGGAAATTACCCCAGAGGTCCTGTATTTCAAGCCCTTTACTTTATAGACAAGGAAATCCCAGAGAGTTTAAATAATTTTCCTGATGTCAAACAGATAGTAAATGGCAAAACTGAACTTCGCCAGTTGCTTTCCCAAGACCAATTCACACATTTGTCCCAAAAAAGTATTTGTCTTTCATAGTAATAGAGAGACTAAGGAGGTCTTAGGGATAAAATTATTTAAAATAATTTGTCCACCTCTCACTCTGGAGGGTCAGTCCTCCCTTGCCCATTCTAATTAATATTATGTAATCCTTTTTGATAACCATGCTACCCTGATATATGTTGAATGTAGAATACTGTCTGTTATATTAGAATAATGTCAGAATAAAGAATTTTCTACATATTAAATTTTAGAGCTATGGGGTACCACCTGAAACTCAATAACAATGGTTTTAGGGTAAATTAAAATGAAATAAAAATAAGGCAACTAGGTGATATAATGGATAGTGTTCTGGATTAAAGTCAGAAAGACCTAAATTCAAATCCTGCCTCAGATACTTTCTTAGCTGCATGACCCTGGGCAAGTCACTTAACCCACTCTCAGACTCAGTTTCCTCATCCATAAAATAGAGATAATAATAGTACCTGTCTCACAAGGTTGTCAGGAAGATCAAATAAAATAATATAAAAAGTGCTTTGCAAACCTTAAAGTACTATATAAATGCTACCAATTGAATATCAAATCAGCAATTTAATTCTGTAAGACAGAGGTATAAAACTCAATAGCAAGCTAGCTGCTTCACAACTCCCAAGCCCCTGATTAACTAGATTAAGATTTAATTGGAAAATGTTTAATAAAATAAATAAAAATGCAGTACAACATACATAATGTTAATCTGTTGTTTTCTAATTCAACATGCAGCCCACAGGGAACCATTTCTATTTTGAGTTTGACATTGCTGCCCTAAGGCACGGCAATTCAGTACTTTAAAAGACCCATGACTTCTTCAAGTAGGCACTATTGCCATCCAAGCGCTGGTTGTTTGATTTTTTGGCACAGAATCTTCATGAGTTACTCTGGTCTAGACCAGTATTTGGATGATGAACATCTCAGAAATAGTCTGAGCACACATCAGTTGCCTTTCTAAATTATGTCCTATTGGCATAGTCTTGAAGATCCCAGGATCACTTCCACTCTACAATAAAATGCCATGATAGAACTTTTGTAGAAGCCAAAACATAAACTAATAATTTAAATAGGCCTCAGAAAGGTCTAGCTAATTTTTTTAATGACAGTCACACTATGTTAAGGAAAGTGAAAGGGAGTGACCCCAAACTTTGGAGATCACTATCAGCGAGGATAGTTGTGTTGCTTCTGGAACCAACCTGTGGTGGCACCACTATCAAACAGAGTCTTAGTACTGGGCAGACCATGGATGGCAGATATCTTTGTAAAAGCCACCAGAGGTGGTGTAACAGCCACTGATAGAGATGAATGTTCCCTGGAGAAAGGGTGAACTCACAAAGAGGGGAGAAGAGTCTATCTCATAGACTATCTCTGGATGATCCTTGTTTTCAAACCAAAAAAACAGATCAAAAGAGGATAAATGTGGCTCCATGTACTCAGGGCCAGTTTGTCAGGTGCTCCCAGTCCCAGGATGGTTCTTGCTCAAGCAACACTATAGCTGGGGTGTGAGGGGGAAGAGATTGGGAGTCAAGAGAAAGAGAGAGAGAGAGACAGACAGAGACAGAGAGACAGAAACAGAGAGACAAGAGACAGAGAGAGAGAGAGAGAGAGATGGAGAAGTAGTTAGATGGTTAGTGCAAATACAGTTGTCAAGGAAGGAGGGTGGTGGGTGGGGGGAGCTGTTGTTTAGTATTGAAATCATGTATTCCAGATGTGGGCATTTGGTAGTCAATCTGCTCTGAAGTGACACGCTGCTGAATCTTTAAAGGGCTTCAGTTGGGGAAAGCAAAATCTGATTGGGCAAATTGCTAAAATATTTAAAGTGCAGCCTGTTAAAGCTTTTACTGCGAAGAGCATCACGTCAGAAGTTGTAGGCAGAAAGAGCAAATAATTGGCTTTCCATCCTCATGCTAGTCAGCCAGCATGGGGCTCTGTTCCTATTCCTTCCACATCATTGCTAAACCTAATAGCAACTCTTTGGTTAGGTTTTTTTTTTTTTTTGGTAGTGAAGGGGAATGAGGGGAGTTAGTGGAGAGAAATGGGGTAGGGAGGTGCTGACAAGGAGTGGGGAATGAACCTGAGAAGGGAGAGAAAGCATTGTTTAGAAAGAGATGATTAACAGAGCTCACCATTGAGGTTTTCTGCCTGCCAAATGTCAACTGGATGTGTTTTTCCAGGTTGATGGTGGTGGGTTCTCAGGTTTTGCTTTTCACTGAACAGGTCCTGCAAACTGTTTTTAATGACAATAACTTCATTTTCATCTTTCATGTCTTTCAATATGTAGCTCTAGGGACATCTTCCCATTCATATTTTATCACATTTTCCACTTACATTATCTTTTTTTTCTCTTTCTAAGGCACGACCCTTTGTTAATTCCTGGCAATGATCAGATCGACAACATGGACTCCAACGTGAAAAAGTATGATTCTACAGGGATGTTCCACTGGTGTGCAGCCAAGGAGATCGAAAAAGTCATTCTGGTGAGTGTTAAAGGAGCCCCTTCATGATTCTGACCAAAGCCAGGTTTTCTAGCCCTGAGATCTGCCAGCTGTTTTATGGGACGACACAATCCCCTGTCCTATTTTTAAGATGATGGAAATTAGGAACACATAGAGGGGGCTTGATCTCTGATCAGAGTTTGAACTGGGAGTAATAAATCAAGTGTTCGTTCATTTCTTCAGTCGTTCCTTCCTTCCTTCCTTCAAAGTATCGATCCCCTTACTCTATGTATGGTCTTGTGCTAAGTGCTAGGAACAGACTCAGATCAGATGAATGGCAACTTAGCTTGTAGTTTTATATGTTTGACCTTCCTCCCTAACTATATTGTAAGCTCCCCAAGGGTAGGAAATATGTCTTATTCATCATTATATCTCCCCAGTCATGTACACACTCACACAAGCACACACAAAATCACTCGCATGATGCACCATGGGTAGTAGACACTTGATGCTGGACTGGTGATGATGATAAGGATAACAAACATCCGATTTAATTCAGCCAACAACAAGCTTTGTGTTAGCTGCTGAGGTTATGATGACAAAAAATGAAATTGCCCCTGCCTTGAGGGAGCTTATATTCTAATGGAGAGACATCACCTGCATTCAGCAGGCAAATGCAAAATATCTACAACATAATGCAATTTAATCTCAATAGAAAGAGAGCCTTACCAATTGGAGGAATTGCTCAGGAAAGGCCTTGGGGCTTGAGTTAGGTCTTAAAGGAAGCTAAGGTGAAAAAGGAAGGTGATCTAGACATGGCAGTCTATTGCTCAAGGACAAGGAAGCAGAGGGCCTGTCTAATAGAAGGAGTAGCTAAGAGATCAGTCTGGCTGGAATGGAGACTTCACCAAAGGGAGTAATAAGAAAAAGATTGTAAAAGTTGGTGGGAGCCAGATTGGTTGGTTAATGAACGTGCAACTAACCAGTCACAAGACATTTTTTGGTTAGTGAACATACTGTAACTATAGAGCAACTATTCCATTGTTTCTCATCAGGGACACTGAGGTTCAGCTTAGAACTCTTAGATGTTATAATAATAATAATAACAATAATAACAATACTGGTAATGGTAAGCATTTATATAGTACTTTGAATGTTGAAAAGTACCTTACAAATATTATTTCACTTTATCCTCATAACAACCTTGGGAGGTAGGTACTATTATTATCCCTAATTTATATATAAATGAGGAAACTGAGGCAAACAGGTTAAGTGACTTGTACACAGCTAGTGTCTGAAGATGGATTTGAACTCAGGTCTTCTTGACTCCAGATCCAGTGCTCTGGCCACTGTCCTTGCTTGGCTACTTGGTTTAATGCTTTGGGCTTTCAGAGGAAGGCAAGATCACTTTCTACTGGGGAGGCCAGTGAAGGCTTCATCTGGGAGGTCTGGTCTGGAGAATGAATGGAAAATACAGGGCTTCAAATGAGTCTGTATTGCCCCAAGTCTTTAGGATAACCTTCTGGTGATTGGCATGTTCCTGCCTCCCCTTCCATGCCACTCTCCCATCCCCCACCTTAGTCTCTGTTTGCATTCCATCTGCTTGTTAAAGTGGGCTAGCTACCCAGCTGACTCGGCCAATTAAAAATAATTAGGGGGCCTATCACAGTTAGTTAGAGTCAGGAGAAGCTTCGGCTTGAGGTGCCCATGCACTCAGACCTCCAAGCAGCCAGTAACTAAGTCGAGATCTCCCCCACAAAACTGATGATATTTGAAATGAGGTCCCTAGTGGATCCTCACTTTGTCGCAGTTTATAAAGCATTTCCTGAGGCCGGTGTCTCAGATTTCCCTGCACTGTTGCGCAGGGAAACCAATAATGGTGACAGCCCCCACTTTATCCTAACGATCAGGGAGCAAGAGAGCCGGTTTCCTCCTCTCCTTGGGGGTTGCGGTAATAACCCTGACATTGTCATGAATTGCAATATTGGCATTTAAACAATCAATACACCAGTCAATTCTAGAAAGTAAATCAACCAGAGTTTGATACGTACGGTGGAAATTCATATATATCCCCAAAGACACGATTGGCTGCATGGGGCTATCTTGGTATACAATGACTGGGAGTCATAGAGGGGCAAAAGGGAGGCAATGAACAGAAAGGAGTCAGGGAGAATGGCCCGTAATGAGCTTCCTTGTGTCATTTATATTATTTCATATGACAGGATGCGAAAGGGCCAGCAGTAAATGAACATTTGCATTGCACAAAGACTTCAGATTTATATCATTCGCAGGTATGGTCTCAGAGTACTTTTTTGCTCCCATATTGACCCATCCCAAGTTTTTAATTCTGTTGTCTTTATGGGGGTCTTCCTCTGAAAGGCTTCAGAAGGCTAAGAAACAGAGCACGTTCCAAGAGCTGGAAATCTAGCGTATCATTGCGTCATGGATCACAGATTGCAGAATCTCAGAATTGTAAGGTGCCTCAGAGGCAATCCAATCAAACCCAGACTTGCCCCAAATCCCCTTCCATTGCTTTCCTGTTAGGATCTCTAGTGAGAGGGGTGGCTAGGTGGCGCAGTGGATAGAGCTCTGGCCTTGGACTCAGGAGGACCTGAGTTCAAATCTGGTCTCAGACACTTGATGCTTACTAGCTGGGTAACCCTGGGCAAGTCACTTAACCCTGATTGCCTCACCAAAAAGCAAAAAAAAATTAACAAAAATGAAACAAAAAGATCTCTAGCGAGACTTTCCAGGATAGCCTATTCTACATTGTTGCTGTTGTTTAGTGTTTCAGACTCTTTGTGACCCTATTTGGAGTTTTCTTGGAAGAGATACTGGAGTGTTCCTTCTCCAGCTTGTTTTACAGATGAGGAAACTGAGGCAAACAGGGTTAAATGACTTGCCCAGGGTCACACAGCTAGTAAGTGTCTGAGGTCACATTCGAACTCGGGAAGATGAGTCTTCCGGGACTACAGGCCTGGTGCTCTGTGCAGTATGGTGCCACCTAGCTGCTCTGATCCACTTTGGAATGATTTACATTGCTAGGAAGAATTCTCCTAAATCTGTCTCTCTTCCTTCTACTCTCTTTTACTGCTCTCCCCCCCCCCCACCTAATTAGCAAGCATTTGTTTTCTCTCTTCCTATCTTCCCTCCCATATTTAAAATTTAAAAAAAGATAAAACCTTTGTAACAAATATGTATAATCAAACATACAAAGAGACAAGTAGAAAACGTCCAATTCCCAGTTTCTATAAGGTCCCTTCAAATGCTTAAAGACAACTATCATGTCCCATGTCCAGCCCCTCAGAACTTCTCTTCTCCAGGCTAAACAGCCTCAGTTCTTTCCACTAATCTTCATGCCCTATGGTTTTCAGCTTCCCTCCTCTTTGTCAACTGCCTTTCTAGACTGGGACACGCAGGAGTGAATACCAGACCGGTCTGATCAAGGCAGTCCCAACCCAGAGTAGTCCCATTGGACTCTATCCCAACCTATTCCATTTTTTTGGCAAGTAGGGTTAAGTGACTTGCCCAGGGTCACTTGCCCAGTGTCAAGTGTTTAGTCTGAAGCCAGATTTGAACTCAGGTCATCCTGACTTCAGGGCTGGTGCTCTATCCACTGCACCACCTAGCTGCCCCTCATTCCATTCTTAATGCTCAAAGGCAAGAGAGTCCCGTGCTCCAGGGAAGGGCATAGAAAAATGCAGGCGCAGAATAAAAGGGGAAGGGAATGAGCATCAATTAATTAACTAATTAATTAATTAAGGACAGCTAGATAGCCCAATGGATAGAGTCCCAGACCTAGAGTCAGGAAAACTCTTCTTCCTGAGTTCAAATCCAGCCTCAGACACTTACTAGCTGTGTGACCCTGGACAAGTCACTTCACCCTGTTTGCCTCAGTTTCCTCACCTGTAAAATGAGCTGGAGAAAGAAATGGCGACCCACTCCAGGATCTTTGCCAAGAAAACCCCAAATGTGGTCACGAAGAGTCAGACATGACGGCAGTGACTGAATAACAACAAATTATGTTTCAGGTGCTGTGCTAAGCACTTTACAAACATCAGCTCATTTGATCCTTAGAACAATCCTTAAAGGGTTATTATTCCTATAGTACATTTGAGGAAACTGAGGCAGGCAGATGTTAAGTAATTTGTCCAGCATCACACAACTAATAAGAGTATGAGGTCAGATTTCAACTCAAGTGTTTCTAACTCCAGGCCCACTGTTTTGTCCCTTGTACTACCTAGCTTCCCACAAAGAAGTTTCTCGAGCTCCCCTGAATCACAACAATAAATCTAGAACTCAAAAACTCAGGCTTGCATGTCTGAGATTGTTATTAGAGACAGAAGTTCTTGTCAGTCAGTTAGTCAACAAACATGTTTTTTAAATAATATTTTATTTTCCCACAATTACATATAAGAATTATTTTTAATACTTTTTTCAAAAAATTTTGAGTTCCAAATTCTTTCCCTCCTTCTTTTCCCTCTTCCCTCCCTGAGAGAGTAAGTAATCTGATATAGATTATACATGTGAAATTATGTTAAACATATTTCCATATTAGTCATTTCAGTAAACATTTATTAAGGTCTTACTTTGTGCCAGGTAGGTGCAGCTAGGATGCACAGTGGATAGAGTGAAAGGCCTGGAGTCAGGAAGACTCATTTTCCTGAGTTCAAATCCAGCCTTAGATACTTACTAGCTGTGTGATCCTGGACAAGTTACTTAACCCTGTGAGCCTCAGTTTCCTCATCTATAAAATGAACTGGAGAAGGAAATGGCAAACCACTGCAGTATCTTTGCCAAGAAAACCCCAAATGGGGTCACAAAGAGTCAGACACAACTGAAAAATGACTGAACAACCGAAAATGTGCCAGATGTTGTCCTAAACAATGGTTCCATGGAGAAAGGCACCCTTTTGAGCCTCAGTTTATGATAAAATGAGGATGTTTGAGTAGTTGATCTCTTAGGTATCGGCTAGCGTTTTGTGATGCCCATAGATAAATATAAATTGGTATCATACCAGCGAAGAAGGAAGGGGGAGGTTGTCTGGTGGGTCACTTTGATTCCCCATCAGAATATAGATCCTTGTGAACAGGGATTTTCATTTGTTGTACTTGTATCCCTAGTCATCACACAGTGCTTAGCACATAGTAGGTACTTCATAGACACTTGATTGATTGAATTGAGCCCAATTGTTCTTTTTCTCTAGATTTGAAAAAAAAAATGTATTTTGATTCTTCTTCATCTTTCTTTGGTGTCAAACTTTGGAAATTGGCTTCCCATTATACGCATCTGGGATTCCATGTTAGATCTGCCCTCTCTCCCCAAATATCCATTCTCTATAGTGCTTCTCAGGACTGGAATCTACACTGCTGAGCCTGGATGAATAGCGTCCATAGGCCATTTGCAGTATATGATCTAAGCTTTGTAACTACCTGGTCTACTTCTAGCAAGAGGCAACAAATCTTTTCTACCCGGGAGAAGTTCCATTCTGAATTCCCATAGTGGACCTCTTTGCTTAAGTAAGCACTCTTTCCTGGGAATGCCTTTCCTTTTTGGTTTTGTCTTCAGCATTTGATTTATAACACCCATGCAAATAACAGCAGACCCCAGTGGTGTAGGGTGGACAGTAAAGAAGTGTAATAAAAATGAGAAAGACTCTATTGCTCAGTTCCCAGGTCTTATACCTCAGGTCCTGATGCTTATAATGCTAGTGCCTACCCTCTGTTGATTATCTCCAATTTATCCTGTCTATATTTCCTTTGTTTTTTTTCACCACATTTTCTCCCCCATTAGAATGTGAGCTCCTTGAGGACAGGGATTACCTTTGGACTTTCTTTATATCCCCACCACTTATCACAGCACTGTAGGTGCTTAATAAATGCTTATTGATTGAGTCATAGCCCTAAGCATCCTCATCATAAGAACCCAGGTGAAAAGTCATTATTTTAATGGACTAATGAGTTTAACCCAAATCTCTGTGTCTTCTTTTACTTTCTTGTTTCAGACGAGAAGTGAAGCTGCCATGACGGTTCTGAGTGGGCATGTGGTGGTTTGCATCTTTGGTGACGTCACATCAGCTTTGATTGGCCTCCGGAACTTGGTGATGCCTTTGCGTGCGAGCAATTTTCACTACCACGAACTGAAGCACATTGTGTTTGTGGGTTCCATTGAGTACCTCAAGCGGGAATGGGAAACACTACATAACTTTCCCAAAGTTTCAATATTGCCTGTAAGTCCAAGGCTGTACTATTAATACTTTCTTTTCTTTCCTTTTCAAGAAAATCCCAGCTGGGCAGGATTGTTATGTCTTTGATCATGAACTTGTTCCTTTGTCTGGTTATGGGCCTGAGGACTTAGCCCATCCCTTGTGTTTCATCCAGGAAAACCTAAGCCCTGGGAGACCTTATTAAATGAAATTTGCAGTGGTTTTCAGTCCCTCATCAAGAATGAATTTCAGCTAGTATCAAATGTTATTACCTTCTGAACACTCTTTCCCCTTGCTTAACCTCGTTGGGTACTGATGAATTTGATGTGGTAGTGTTTGTGAATTGATTTGTGCTGATAGTGATGATTGTAAATACTTTGAACTAGGTCCTCTCTTCTCTTTTTCCCTCTTAAATTTTTTTTTGTAGCTATATTGAAGAAAGATCTATTTATTCTTATCTGCTATATATTGGTCTTCCTGCCTCTCTCTCCCCACAGTTTATGGCAGAGTAGCCTTTCCACTGGAAACTCTGTTCTTGGGGCTATTATCATCTGGAGTATGAGTCTGATAGCATACATTTAAAAACACATTGGACCCTAAATCTAAAGGGCAGACAGTCAAACACACTAGTGTTTATTAAATACCCACTATGTGCCAGACACTGTGGTAAGGCCAGGGGATACAAATAAAGACAATATCTCCTCTTAAGGAACTTAACAATCCAACATGAAAACAACTTGTACAAACAAGATAATGTAGGATAAATTAGAGATAGCTGACAGAGAGAAGGACTTAGAACCTTGGCCATAAAATCAGTGAGATAGATATTAGACTGAAGAATACAGGAACTCTATCTTTGCTGCTTTTCAATGAATATATATATATCCCATAAACTCTAAAAAAAGTTCTTGGAGGTAAAATATGTAGCATTTGATGTTGTTCCACATGTTGAAAATGTGTACCAGAATCATGTTATTGTCTAAGTCTTTCCTTAATATTGGCCTTCTTCTTTCTTTTTTAGATTTTATCTTCTTTTTATTTATTTTATTAATATTTTGGTTTTTCCCAGTTACATGTAAAATCAATTTTAACATTTGTTTTTAAAATTTCAAGTTCCAAATTCTCTCCCTTCCTCCCTTCAGACCACCCCCCTATTGAGAAGGCATGTAGTCATGCAAAACATTTCCATAATAGTCATGTTGTGAAAGAAAACATGGATAAAAAAAAATCAAGAAGAATAATGAAAAAAGTATGCTTTAGTCTGTATTCAGACATCATCAATTCTCAATAGCATTTTTCATCAGAAGTCCTTTGACGTCGTCTTGAATCATTACATTGCTGAGAATAGCTAAGTCATTCACAGCTGATCATCTTGTAATATTGCTGTTACTTTGCACACAGTACATTTCACTTTGCATCAGCTCATATAAGTCTTTCCAGGTTTTTCTGAGAGCATCCTGTTCATCATTTCTTATAGTACAATCATATTCCATCATAATCACATACCATGATTTGTTCAGCCATTCCCTAATTGATGGGCAGCCCCTCAATTTCCAATTGAAAAGCCATATTCTTATGAAATGATGCAATATATGATTATGCCTTTCAGTCTCCCTAGGGAATTGATAAACTTCTTTCAATGCAGTTTCAGTCCTCTGGGTGTCAGCTTCTAGAATGCCAGAAATGAAAGAGGAAAAAAGATAACCTAGGTTTAATGGGGAAATCTCTCATAACAGGAAAATTCTTCCATTTTGAAATAAACATTAAAGCATTGATCTATACGTAAATACCCTTTGCCAGCTCCCACCATTTATACTTTGACCATCAGATCTAGCCCTCCTGAATCCCAGGCTGACACACCCAAATCAAAAACAACTGACTTAATGAACATATACCCATATGTATATGTACATGGATAGTCACCAAAATATATAGGTAATCCCCCATCCAGTACACATCTCTGTACCCCAACAGATGTGCACACTCATCCCTTATGTACAGTTCATAAATATTATCCATCCTATTACCTCTCCTTAATCATTTCTCTGCCCAGAACATTCTAAATGGGCATTTAAAGACATCTCTTTGGCAGGACTTGGCAAAACAATTTTTGGTCAAGTTGCTGCTGTTTCACTAGGCTGCACCAAAGTTTTCCTTTGTATGTAAGGATGGGGTAATTGCTCATTGATTCCCTGAGCTCACCTAGTGAATTGGCATATGTAAATGCATAGGTTCTCAGATTTTATAGGACCATTTCAAATCCTCTAAAACCTAGTGTCCTTAGGCCTGGCACATTTGTACAAAATGGGCTTCCACATATGTCTTCACATATTTCACTGTTTAAATAATGCTGTATACAAAGAGAATGCCCAGAGAAACACAAGATGTTTCCATTGATATCATTTATATTTTTTGTATTTAGAACACATGCTTGCCCAAATGTGCTAGTGTTTTCCTGTTTCATTGCTACTACTCTAAGTGGATATTAAATGACTATGGATACAGATGACTGAAACATACTTTTTTTTTTTTTTGGCCTACATTTTTGGTTTTATTGGTGAAGATAACTTCTGGTATGGAAACTCCCTCCACTGAGCTACATTGGTAAATTGTCTATAATCTGTAGTCTTGGAGAGTTGCCTGGGGCACTGTCCAATTAAATGACTTGCCCATAGTTACACAGATAGTATATATCAGAGGCAATACTTGACCCAAGTCTTCTTGACTACAAGGCTAGCCTTCTATCATCTATCCTGCAGTGCCTCTCATTGGCAAAATAAACAATGTGGTTTTGTTTTGTGTTGAGAATCTCACAAAGGAAGGAAAATAAATTGCTTCTTCTCTGGAAGGAGAGTGCCTTAGGTCAGAAAATGTTCAAAAGCTATGCTCATTCTTCCTTGTCACTCAGCCCACTTTCCAGAAATATATTGATGCTTATGACCAAGCTACCACCAAGTATTTATAAAGGGTTGCTTGTCTTAATTTCTGCAGCCAGCATACTCTCCTAGAGGGGCAGCTATTTAGACAGGAGAAAGTAGCATGCTGGATTATAACCCATGAGATCTAGTGAATCCAATCCCAAAGTGATCAGTGAGGAAAGTAATGAATCAACATGTTTCATATAGATTGTCTACCATGGAATCAAGGTCAGACAACCAATTCAAATTTAATTTAAGCAGCATTTATTAAGTGTTTATTAGACACCAAGAAATGTGCTAGCTGTTGGAGATGGGAAAAAAACATAAACCAAAAAAGCTAAAATAAAACTATCTCTGTCCTCAAGGAGGGTACATTCTATCTGGAGAGGTATATCAATATATGTAAATAAATCTACAAATGCAAGACAAGTTCAAAAGGTAGAGGATATTAACACTAACTGGAGGGAATCAGGAAAAGCTCCTCTTAGGAGACAAATGAAATAAGCCTGGAAGGAAACAAAACATTCAAAGGGGGCAGAAGTGAAAAGGGAGTATATTTCAGGACTAGGGGAACAGTTTTTTCAAAGACACAGAGGTGGGAAATAGCCCAAATCAGAAAACAGCAAATAGATCAATTTGGAATATAAAGTAAATAAAGAGGAGTAATATGAAATGGCTGGAAAGGGAGTCAGGAGCCAGATTGTGAAGGACATACTAGGCTGAGAAGATGATATTTTATTCTAGAAACAAGAGGTAGTCATTGAATGTTGTGGAGTAAGAAATGATATGGTTGGATCGGTTCCTTTAGGAAGATTATTTTGACAAATGTGCAAAGGATAGAATGGAGAGGGAGAGAAACCAGAAGTTTTTTGGAGACCACGTAGGAGGGTGTTGTCATAATCGAGCCAGGAGGGGCTAAGGACTGAGCTGTGGCTGTATGAGTGGAAAGAAGGAATCTCATGATTGGAGGTGAATCTCAGCTGCTCTGACTTGATTTTGGGGTATAGAGATTATAAAAATCTAATCAATAATATATGGAGTTTTCAATGCTGTTTCTACCCTGGCTAAACACATAGAAATGATTAGAACACAGAAGGTACAGATACAGTGGAAAGATCACTGAATTTGAAGGCATCAAGATCTGGGTTCAAATCCTGGCTTTCCTACTTACTACTTGTATGACCTTGAACAATCGACTCATGACCTCCCTATACCCCAGTTTTCTCTTTTTTGAAATGAAGTGGCTGGACTAGATGAGCTTCTAGCCTTAAATTCATCATGTTGTAATAAGAGCTATGCCTCTCATTATAAGGTATAATAAAATGTCGTTAATGGCTAAGACAGGATTTTAAGTGGATTTTAAGATGGAAAGAGTCTTACAACTGAGCGGATACAGAAAACCCTCTTTAGGGAGGTGACATTTGAACTTCACTTTAATATTCAGATAGAAAGTCCACATGTACAGATGACAAGGGAAATTCAGGCATAAGGAGTCATGTACAAAGGGATGGAGGTGGGAAAGCACATGGCATGTATAGGGGTTAGTCATGACATACTTAGTATGTGCAGTGGAGGTGGCTTCAAAAGTTGAGTGGTGCCAAACTATAGAGTGCCCTGAAGGCCAGACTAAGAAGTTAAAATTTTGCTCAGTTGACAATAGGGAGCCATCAAAAGTTTTAAACAGAAGCATGCTATGACTTTTTAGTTTTATTATTATTTTTTTAACCTGGTCTCCCAAAGTTCCTTCAGTGGATTTCGGTTTTTCAAGGCCCGCAATGATTTTGCAGCTCCCTGCTTGGCCTCATTGAAGGTCTTATTGGCTCTAGTTGCTTTTGAACCTTCCCTTTGGTTCCCCGAGGGGGAAACATAGGTTCCTAAGATCCCTGTGAGTTTCAGAACACCTATGATGACCATGTCTTCTTCATGTCTCTCTGGAAGCCATCTCTAGCCCTTAACGCTCTCCTGGTCAATTTGTCTGAAATAAATTCATTAGTATATTCTTCACAGCCAATCTTAACATCTCATTCTTAACCAGTGTCTCTAAACATGACTTCTCCTAGAGGTGTAGTTCCCCAAAAGGAGTGCTCCTCAGACACCATGTGCCTCAGTTGCACATACCTTCATCTTCTTCAATCTTTTTTCCCTCAATAGTCCCTAACCACCAATTCTTGTTTTGGACAAAGTCCCTACTGGACCTAGCAAAAAGCTCTAGTTTCCAGTCTAAGAGAGACCTTTAGTTCAGGAGGGAATATCATTTAATGGAATGAAGTCTGAATTTAGAGTCTTGGGATGTGAGTTTGAATCCTGACTCTGCCAAGTGCTCTCTGTGTGACCTTGGACAATTTACCTCTCCATTTCCTTATCTGTAAAATGGGGGAAGGGGGGTCTCCGTTGAACCAAATGGTTTCTAAGACTCTTTCCAACCCTAGGTCTACAGTCCTAAAATCCATTGCTTTTTAGCTCATTTGGGGACAGATCCTGAGTTTCCATGAAAGACAGTATTTCAGGAAATCAGCCCCATGCACTTCTCAGATATTTTGGCATAGCTTAGCACTCGGGTGATCTCTCTTTCTCACCCCACCCTCCCAGGGCCCTGAAGGTCTCGAAAATCCCATTACCACAGAGTTAAAATGAAAAGACTACTTTACACCCACAAAAATAATCACAGACAATTTCTACCAATTAAGACAAGAATCCAGCTCCACCCCCCAACACACACACACTTACAAGAGCTCATTTCCCCTTTGCCCAATATTCATGACTAAACCTTACGCCCCATCACAGCTGCCTCACCCCCAGTCATGCACGGCCTCTGGCCCCACCCCGTGCCATCTTCTCTTGGCTGCACAGAGATCATGAGTTAGGTTTCTTGTTGTTTTTTTTTTCTTTCTTCTTTACTTCTTTCTCCTTTTGCCCCAGACAGAAGGTGACCCGCCATTAGATAAACAGACATTTAAAACCCACCCCCTCATTACATTCTGAAAGCCGGAGGTTGCCACAGGACGATGGCTTAAATCAGGACAATTTCAAAGCAGAAAGGAGATGTAGGGCTCTGGCATTATTCCTCTTCCACGTTTGTTAGTAATAGCTTGATTGAGTATGAAGAGGGAGCCTAAAATGCTGCCATCAGCACCAAGTACCCTTTAGATTAACACGCGACTCCTATTCCCTGGTATATAGTTAGGCCAGCTTAATGTCAGGGCATAAAACAGATACTTGTTAAATAATTTCCCAAAGCTCCTTCTCAATCTTTAATTTGTTTTTATTCTCTCTCTCTCTCTCTCTCTCTCTCTCTCTCTCTCTCTCTCTCTCTTTCCCTCTCTCTCTCTCTCTCTCCCTCTCCCTCTTTATTTTTTCTTCTCTGCCAAAGGGTACACCATTAAGTCGGGCTGATTTAAGGGCTGTCAACATCAACCTCTGTGACATGTGCGTTATCCTGTCAGCCAATCAGAATAATATTGATGATACTTCGCTGCAGGACAAGGAATGCATCCTGGCGTCACTCAACATCAAATCTATGCAGTTTGATGACAGCATTGGGGTCTTACAGGCTAATTCCCAAGGTAAGGACTGCCCTATAATACTCCCCTGCAGTGCCTACAGGGGACAGGACCTGGCAAGAGGAATATCCTTCATTCAGTAATTCAAAGAGCTTGCATCAGCCAGGCTGACAGTGAAACCCGCTCATGGCTGGGATAGCTTTTAAAGGGGGCATCTGCTGTCTCTTCCCACTGTTACAGAAAGCAGGCTGGAAAGCTAAGAGCACACACAAACACACACACTCTCACAATACATGCACACACTGAAAAATACATGGACAATGCATATACTTACAATGTGTGTAAATACTTGTAATCATTCATGCATACCCTCATAATACATGAAAACACACTATCTCTCACACATGCAAACATGCAGGCACACAATATTCTCAAACATATATGCAAATACATGCTCACACACTCACTGTCACACACGCATACAAACACATGCACATGCTTTCACACATGTGACCACACTGTACATACATACATGCAAACACAGATATGCAAGCACATGTGCACATTCACACATACATACTCACACACTTTTACATTTATGCATGCACTCACACATACATATGAACACACTACAAACATACACCCTCACAAACATGCAGACACACGTGTGTGCACACATATTCATGTACCCACACTTTTGCACATATATGCAAACGCACATGCACACACTCTCACAATATATACAAACACACATGCACATATACTCAGACATGAAAGCAAACACATATGCATATTCATGCATGCTTCTAAACTATCAAATATTTGCAAACACTCATGCCTACATACTCATATATACATACAAACACATGTGCTCACATATACATGCATGCCTGTTCATATGTACACACTCTTACACACACATGCAGACACACATGCACACAAATGCACAATCAGACTGGGATTGTTTAGAATAAATGAGTCCTTGGAAGGGCCAGAGCATCAGCCATGATGCACATTGATCGCACCATTGGGGTCACGGCTGCATGTAGCTGATGAACAAAGATGGGCATGTTGATCAGCACAGCTCTGGATTGGAGACAGAGAAGTGATAATTTCTGACAAAACCTGAATCCCTTCCCCACCTCCTCACCTCCCCACCTCCAGGTAGCAGCAGAGACAATGAATATGAGTGAAACAAACTTTGTTTTTCTTTCTTAAATCACGACATGTTACTCACCCACTAAATTATTTTTGTCAGCTCACCAGCTCTCTCCCAGAGAGTAGATATAGCATAAAACGAACTGTCAGCCACATCTACCCTACTCCCAGGCTGAGTAATCTCCAGTCTCAGATGCTGGACAATTGTTTACAAAGATGCTGCCTTCAGGGAGCTTGAAAAGTTGATACAGCAGCATCCCAGAAATAATGTTTTAATATCTCATGAATCTGGTTATTCCAAAGTCAAAGTGTGTCCACCATAATGACATAGAGTGCCTCTTTCAATAGAACCTGGTAACTGGGGTGGGGGCAGGATTGTCTAGTAGGATGACCACTGAGTTTGGAATCAAAACAACATGATTTTGAAAGCCTACAACTTTGATCCACATTAACTGCGTGTCCTTGAGTGAAATGTTGATGTCTCAAAGCTGCAGTTTTCTACCTGTCAGATGGAGCTAATACTCACAGGATTATCTTAAGGAAAGCATCTTGAAAATCTAACACACCACGGAAATGTAAGATAGCATTGTTATCTCTGTCTATAATTGCAGTTGGATTCTATTGTATAAACATTTCCAATGAATCATCAATTCCTAAGTCCAATTTAAAGCCGCCAGCATATGGTGATTTAGGGCATTTCCCTTGGAAATGGCTTGCTCTATGTTCAGGTGACTGTGTTCCCAGTAGGTGACTTTGGGCGAAGCATCATGTCCATTCTGAGGACAAAATCTTAGCCCTGGTTGGAAGAGATGGGCAAGAAAGTTCACTCCTTTCCTTTTCCTCCTTACTCTGGTTTTCCTAATGATAGTATTTTTCCTGAATAAGTAGCCAGCAGTGTGGTAGGGTAGATGGGATTCTAGATTAGGAGTTAAAAGACCGAGGTTTGACTAGCTACAGGTGGAACATTCAGGCAGGTAATTTTACCTATTTGGGCCTCAGCTTCCTAAGTTTGGCCAAGGCCCTTGACAGATAAGTCTTAATCTATTACACTATGAAACTGAAACACATGTAGAATTTAGTTGTTGTTCTCAGTGTCTCCAAGCCCAAGTGTATCTTTCAAGCTCACTGACACCTCCTAGGTCTACTCTGTCTTGCTGCTTGGCTCACTAGAAGCCTAGATGACCCCCATCCCAAGTGATGCTTTAGCTAGGCATTGTCATGGCCAAACCAAAGGGGTCTAGTTATTGCAGGTGCCCAAGGACATTTTAAAAGAACACATTATAAACTCTGAGATTTGTTGAAAGTAGGAAAGGAAGGGGCCTGAGGAGAGGGAAGATGGCAAAACCATTCCCCAGAATGAGGGGTGATTTCTGTCTTACTCCATAGATGTAATTTTCACTTTCTTTATTCTACAAATCTTTATTATGCTGTGGAATCACTTGGATCCCCTTGGTGGCCCTGATGCCATCAGTTCTGGCAGGAAAAGATTGGTCCAAACAGGAGTTCACTTTTCCATTTAGTTCAATACCTAGTAAGTCCCATAATATGATTCTTCCTGCCTTTCAAACAGCCAAGTGGAATCAAATCCTAGCGCCATGTGAAATGTGACTCTATTGCCGAAAAGAGCATCTGTCTTTTGGTTTGGGCTGTAAACCCTGAGATCAGTCATCACGTTACCTAGATAACCAAATATTAACATTCCCTCCCTTCCCTTTTTGACTCCCCTCCGTGGCACACGTGGCTTCAGAACCAAGCTGGCATGGGGACTTGAATACCGGTTTTCCAAAAGATTTAGGATGTGATGGTTAGTTGTCAAAAACAATTAGACCGATAGGTGGCACACCCCTCGCTCCCTGGGTGATCTGATGTGACAGTTCAGGCCGTGAGAATCAGTTTTAATATGGAGAAGTCAGGACTACAGAAACAATTACATAAAGCAGGTGAAGCTGCTTCTGCTGGTCAGCAAACATCAGCTCAGAACCACTTCACAGCTCTTTACCGGCATCTAAGTGCCTGTATTTACGGAGTGGCTGTCACTTCCCTCTGCTTGGAAGTCTGGTGTATTATTTAACACTCATTTATCTAGGGAAAACATTTCAATTTAAATCTTCTGGCACAACAGTGCCTTTTGCCAGACTCTATCCTCCTATGCAGCCCCCCTCCCTTGATTCTAAAGGACAAATAGCCGAGCTCACGAAGTCCATCTATGGAGCAAAAACCACAGCCCTGTCCGTAGCTGGGGAGAGAAGGAGGAAGAGGGGCCCTTTCCCCTGTTTTCACATCGCTGTCTGATTCTACTCTTTGAAATAGTCTAGATGCGAAGACACGTGACTTGTTGCTCAAATGCTGAGTTTATGAGTTGAACATCTCACATATCCCCCCCTTTTGGAGGGACTCCTACTTCAGAACTCCCAGCTTGGCATCTCCCCTCACTAATGCCAAATGACCACCCAACTGTAACATATAATCTTAGATCCTGGAAGCACTTAAAGATGATGTGACTCGTTCAGAATCATAGAGTCAGTCAAGAAACATAAATATACTTACTATGCCAGGTACTGTGCTAAGAACTAGGGATTCATAGAAAGTGATAGGATTTGTCAGAGGGGTCAGAGCCCAGATCTTCTTTACTCCAAGGCCTGTTGTCTATTCACTACATCATGGAGCCTCAATTTGTGCACATGGAAAGAGGAAGACATGTATATTTGCATATGTATCACACGATCATAGAGCCAGAGTTGGTAGATACCTCAGGTGCTGTCTAGTTTAACTGACTCATTTTACATGGTCCGGGAGGTTCACTGATTTACCTCAGATACCACAGCTAGTAAGTATCAGAAGCAAGATTTGAATCCAGGTCATCCGGCAACCAGAACCAGAGCTATTTCTACTATATCATACCACCTCATGTGCACATGCCTACATGTATACATACATGCATACATACATATACATATACGTGAAAATACATACACACTAGTCATTTAATCTCTCAGAAACTTCATTTTCCCCTTTTGTAAAATGGTGATAAAATGAGAACATATGTAAAGAGAATTGAAACTCATAACATTATATATATATGTGTGTGTGTGTGTGTATACATACACACATATATATGTGTATATATATTTTATATATATATAATATATATATATATATATACACACATGTATGGAGGGTAGAGAGCTGGTCTCAATGCCAGGAAAACTTAGAGATATGAATTTTAACATATATATACACACATATATAATACACACATACACATACAAGTGCATACATACATACACACACAAGGTCCAGAGACGTTGACTTGTCATACACACATATATATGTGTGGATAGATATGAAGCTGTGTCTTGCCATGCATACATGCGTCTGTATGGGTGTGTATATATAATACACAAACACATTTATATGTATATGTAAATATATATATATATATCTTTATATAAATGAGGTCTATAGAAATTTATTTGCCACACACATATGCATGTATAAATATGAAGTTGTGGCTTGCCATATATATATGTTTTTGTGTGTATAGATATATATGTACAGTGTATATGTATATATGTGTTTATGTGTCTATGTGTATGTATGCACGTGTGTATGGCAAGGCACAACTTTGTTGGACCTCATTTGTAAAATGAGGGTGTCTGAATGGATTATCTCTAAGGTTTAATATTCTGAATCTGTTTTGTATTTTTAATATAGAGAGACTGGGATAAGACCTTTACCAACGTAGGGCAGCACCTTCTGTGGACTTTAAAGTCTTAGGGCATTGTCTGGATCATTGAGAGGTAAAGAGATTGCTCAGGGTCGTGACGCCAGGATGTGTCAGAAGTAGGTCTTGGCCCTAGGTCTTCTGGCTTTGCAACCAGATCTTTATGCATATTACATACACA